CAATAGAAAAATAATGCTGCAATTCAACACAAACAGCCACAGCGGCGGCGGCAATTGGACAAGTGAATAAAAAAAAAGGAAAATAAATGGCGTGTACTCGTACTAACCTGCAGTTTTCGAAAGCAGTTGTTAACGTCCTGCAGGTGTCTTTATCGCCACCGCCGCCGTGCAAGTGTGACGGATCTCGCTGAGCGCTGTCGTTTTATCGAGCTTAGAATGACGTATCCTGGGCTCAAGGTTGTGGGCTGGTGGCAGCTCGGGCGGGAAGATAACGATGTCCGCCAGGCGCCCAAGGCTTGTGGTGACGTGTCCCGACCTCAGGGTTGTTTGCTGGCGGTAGTGCGGGCTGGAAGATGGCGATGTCCTCCTGGCATCAGAGTCAGCAATCCGTGTTGGCCAGAGTCTGCAGTTTTCAAAAGCAGTTGTTAACGTCCTGTTGGTGTCTTTATCGCCACCGCCGCCGTGCAAGTGTTGATCTCCCATTTTTACACCCTTAAGGATGTAAAAATGGGTACCCTAGAGCTCGCTCGGTCTGTGCGTTCTTCGTTCTTTCTCCTCCGTACTTTTTGCGCTGTTTTCCTCTTCGTAACTATGCCCAACCAACTCGCCCGATTTTCAACGGTGCTCTAGAGACTTAGACCCGTGGCTACATTCTTACAGGCCCGTGAGTTCGAGTAATGCGTAGAGCAAGTTCATCTGCTTCTAGCGATGATGACAGACGCCGAGCTCTAATTAGCTGATTAGAAAAAAAAGTGTGTAGACCTCAAGTCATCTAACATTGATGTCTGCCCACTATCCTTTATATCCAAGCCAATCAGAGCTCGGCGTCGTTCTGACGTCACCGCAATTCATTCGAAAGAAGCAGACGACTTTCTTTCCGCATACATCCGCATACTCAACGCAAAATGGAGTGGCGTTTCGTTGAGCACTCTTCATTTTTGAAGGATGTAAAAAAGGCGTGGGAAAGGGTCTAAGCGAGCTCGCACCTGCTTCAGACCGCTTTAGCCGAGTTCTTTTGGTGATCATACCTAATAATGATAGCCTGTACCAATGCTTTTGATTTGGAGATACGTTATGCAAACTTAGATATATTCTGCTTTCAGTGTGTACAAATCCTGGTCATTGTCGAGCTGGAAGCAGCTGTTCAGTTGTGGGCGCGATGCACTTCAAAAACGTGGTTCCGGCCAGGCATTGAAAGGCTGCCAAACCGGTGATGCAAGTGCATTCGGCTCTAGGAAGAATCTGTCGAGAAGGTCAACATATATACCGACATCTCAGTGGCCGGTATGCGCGGGAAAGCAATAAATTGTAAATCAAAAGGTGCGCCCTATGTTCTGTGTTCACTCCCTGACTCCAAGTAGCCGTTCCCGGTCATTTGTTTTTCGCTTCATCAAACAAACATTGATTGGATTTGTCAAGCTCGTTGCGACTATGCACGCCTCTTTTCTTATTTTTTTTTATTTACAGGTGACTGTAATTAAACTTTTATTGTGCCGTTATTCGCCCAGCTTCCTCGATTGATTTGCAGCCAATAAATATTTGGGCATCCTAGGACAAAGTAGGCGTTTGGACATGCTTTAATGCGCAATATTCTTCCTTTTAATGATATTACCTTGAAATCGGTCGCTTTAATCTGCTTTTCATTTAATGCACACATACCATTCCTTCATTTTATTTTTTATATTGAGCTTAACAGAAAGAAGACAGCGTGTGTTGTGGCTTCTAAGGTTACTTCGTTCATTCATTCATTCATCATTTAATGTACATGTTCATGAACAGCTTATACGCCTTAGCAATGATGCACCAGAACAAGTTAAGATATCAAACATGGAAAACTTAAATGCGAAAACGTTTGAGCTAATAACGTAGATATCCGCTGCAATGACGGTAGTGCACAAGTGCCGGATTTCGGGTGATGGGACTACTTTAGATGATTTTCTTAACAAACCCAGTTATTCTTCTTTGCGTATATGGGTCATACTGTTCCTTTTTATTTATTCATTCATTTATTCCTAAATTAATGAGTACATGAGTAAGAATCAACCATATAAACGCGCACCTGTAAAATTGCATTCGTGAAGGAATGAGTGAGAGTGAACCACATATGCGCACAGCTCAATGACTGTTTATGAATAAATGAATAACAGCCAACCACATATATGCGCAAGGCTAAATGACTGTCTTGTGAATGATTTAGTGATTGAATGAATGAATGAATGAACGAATGAATGAATGAATGAACGAATGAATGAATGAATGGGAGAGTCAACCACGGAAAGCTGAATAACCCTAATGAATAAATAAGCAATTATTAATTATTATGGACGAATAAAGTCTTCATTCCATCAAAGTCAGTCCAGACCCAGGCGGATGGGAAAATCAGGCCGCCATTTAGCGCTTTATTTTTTAATGACTCAAAATAAATTAGCGCGAGCACTACAAAATTATTGCAAAAGTCGCGATACATATGTTCAGCCCTGACGTTGACATATGGCTAAAATACGAGTACCGCTACTTTCAGTCAAGTATTGTAAGTTACAAGTAAACATTACTCAAACGAATATTTTCTTTCACTAAAAAGCAGTGCTTGAGATATAGAAATTAATCGAAACTAAATTAAAACTATAATTACTTTTAGTCAAAATTACTGAATCAGAAGTAAAGAATCTTCAAAGAGTAATTACATTTGAATTACCAAAGTGCAAGTAAAATTATTCGGCAAGAAACAATTTCTAATGGAATACCGCCTAATTAAAAAACATATTTAAAAAATTTCAGTTCCAAAAGTACATAAGTCGAATCACTACTGGGGCATGACTCATATGCACGATTGAGTCTGGTAAATCCCGTCGGCTTCTCTGACGCCGCCCATGGCATAAAAAAAGAAGGCTAATTTAGGTCAAGGCCCCCCGTTTGATAGAGTCAAAGCGGTTCTAACCTAACCAAGGTGCTCCACACAATCGCAGCAAGGAGCTTGGCCTCCATTATGATGATTTTCCTTTCCACCGCTGGCCATTGAAACCGGACGCGTGAGTGTGGCATCATAGTCACGGAAGCTCAGGAATCCCAGGGCGACCGATAACCTAAAACGAGTTACCTCCACCCTTCAAACGAGAGCGAAAGAAGTAAGACAAAAAAAAAGGGGGGGGGGGGGGTTCGTTCACCAGTGAGGGGGTATAAAAGCTCGACGCGGATGCACGTCAAGTCAGTTCGGACAACAGCTCCAACGAGACAACAACCATGAACGCTGTGAGTATCTCGGCGGCTTCGGTTGTGTACGACAACGGCACGGTGCAAGCGGCTCTGGCCACGGAGGCTATACGGATGCACGGCTGCTCTGACTAGCCACCGGGGTGGTGTAAAGATTGGCTGGATTGCATCATCCATCACTCGTGTAACCGCCGCGGCAAACGACCCCCTTCTTTAGTGGGGTGGCCGCGCTATGGCTGCCGTCCCAGAATGTAACTTCATCGTGAACAGCCACTCCAGTGGATGACTCTCTTTCTGAAGAAGCACTTGAGCGTGGCACTGGAAGTGGACTATCACAGGCGACGTCCGTCGGAGCTTGGTACAATTAATGGCAAAAATGTGGCTCCGTAAATCTGTAGCGCCAAAGATTTTAGATGAGAGCAGTCGTTAACACGTTAATTAAAAAGGTCATCGATCGTAATTATAATTACTCTAGGTTAAAAGTATTTATTTCGATTACTAGATTAGTTGAGAGGAAAAGAAAGTGGTTGTTACTTAAAAACAGTAACCTTTTTTTTACGATTTCTTCACACTTTTGAAGCGATTAATTTGTCTGCCGATCTGAAAGCATGTTTTTAGCACCGTCCATTATTGGTTTAGAATTAACAAATCATAAGCTACTTCTCTTCTTAATCCCCCAATTTTGGCAAACCATGCCTGCCTGTCGGAGACTTAGTTCGAGGATTCCTTGCGAGGAAATCTTGTACAAACAAATGGTGCCATTAGAAAGAGGTGGAAAAATTAGTAGCGTTTACAAGTCACTCTAGCAAAAGTACACAGATTAATCTTGAAATTACTTCCTAATAAACATATTTTAATGATTACGAAATCACTCCAAAACGTAATCAATTACAACTAATTTTTTTCGCTCGTAATGAGGGTCATACGGGTCTGAACGAGAGGCATTGGAACTAAAGAGTCATCCTCTACACATTCCTAATCGATAACGAAGAATCTCAGCAACACTGTAAGCAACTACGCCTGCCACAATCAATGTCGTTTTGAAGCCAACGAGAATGCATAGGCCGATAAAATGTGGAAGAATTGAATTCCAAAAACCGAGGGATATCAACTTAAATAATCTATGCGCTGTTTCTTGGGATGCGAGTGACAGATGCGAGGGTGACAGAGTTGAGATTTCATCACAGCCTGAGCACGGGACAGGGGCCGCTCGGCCCCGTTTGATATTAGTCGAGACAAATCCCATTTAAGCACAACGCCACTGGGCCAACGATAAAGAAGAGGGGTACAGATACACTAAAAAAGCACTGTCCCGTGTATCTCGCAGTGCTTATCCAGTGCATCTCTCTTCTTTATCCTTGTCCCAGTCGCGCTGCTTTTCATTGTGAGCTCCTACCAACGCGCCCAAACGTTCATTCTCATAAGAAAAATAAAATCCTACAGTTATCTGGGAAGCAAGACACAGCGCTGACATTGCTAGTAGATCATACAAAAGGCGATCTGCAGGCACTGCCTCCGGCGTGTTTCTTGCTTGCATGAAAGCCTTGTCACTCACACAAAAGCTGTCTGCAGACGTGTTGGAAGCGTGCATATGCATTAAAGCGCTCCTAAGAAGCTCGAGGCATGTTTGCATATTCTTCTCTCATTATGCGTACAGCGAACGTCGTGTCTTTTGGATTATATACGAGCAGTGTGGATGCGACTCTAAGCTATACAAGAGGTTCCATTACCGATATGTGACAACGGGGACTGTGCTCATCACGATGTCTGCTCCTCTTGCACTCTTGCAGCTCTCTGCCCTGGTTCTTCTTGCCGTCGCCTACGGCGCCCATGCCGGTGGCGTTGCCCTCGGCGGTTATGGCCTTGGCCTCGGCCACGGCTACGGTGGCTTCGGCTACGGAGGTCTCGGCCACGGAGGATACGGAGGTCACGGAGGCTACGCTGTCGCTGCTCCAGTCGCCGTCGCTGCCCCAGTCGCCAAGGTTGCCGTCTCCGCCCCCGCTCGCTCCTTCACCTATCGTAGCGACAGCTTCGGCCCCGCACACGCCGTCAGCAGGCCAGTTGCCGTCGGACACGGCTACGGCGGTTATGGTGGCGGATATGGTCTCGGAGGCTACGGAGGCTACGGAGGCTACGGACACGGCGCGGCTGTTGTCGCTGCTCCCGCTGTCGCTAAGGTCGCTGTCGCTGCCGCCCCAGTCGTGGCCGTCGGCCACGGAGGCTACGGCGGATATGGCGGATACGGCCTCGGAGGCTTCGGAGGCTACGGACACGGAGGCTACGGAGGCTATGGACACGGCGCCGCTGTTGTCGCTGCTCCTGCTGTCGCCAAGGTCGGCGTCGCCGCTGCCCCAGTCGTTGCTGTCGGTCACGGAGGCTATGGTGGCTACGGACACGGAGGCTACGGAGGCTACGGACATGGTGCCGCAGTTGTCGCTGCTCCCGCTGTCGCCAAGGTCGCCGTCGCTGCCGCCCCAGTCGTTGCCGTCGGCCACGGAGGTTACGGTGGTTACGGACACGGCGGCTACGGTCTCGGTCTTGGTTACGGCCACGGATACGGAAAGTACTAAACTAGACAACAGCCACGTGCAAGCTGGGACCTTCTGGAACTTGCAGGCAAAAGTTCCCCGAAGCGACCTCGAGCTCTCGGTATGGGATGACGGAGCTCGGAGTGTGAACACAACCACGGACGTCATCGTTCCAGCGCTCCACCGCATCCCCCTTCCCCAAATAGGATAATAAATTACTTGTTCTTATTGTTGAAAAGCCTCTCGTACAGTGTTTCTGCTTCACTCGATGAACTGTCGCAGAACATAGTAGGAGCTCCCGACCAACAGCCTGCACAGGAGGCAGTTTTGAAGCCGAGCTCCGACCAATGAGCTGGTACGATATCTGTCTGTGCTTTCGCCCTAGTCATCCCTTTTCGTGGAAATCAATTATTTTTCATTTCCTCGTTGTGGAGGTACTGCACCAACTGCAGAATTGTTTCGTACCACCTAGACCAGAAATAACTTTAGACGCAATATTTCTACTTTCCAACCACTGTTAGGTACTCTGGAACAGCCGGACGTTTTGCACCAACACAGCGAAAAACTGCCATGTTTGCACAGTTATGAAAGCCATCACAATCCGGCTCTCTTTGCACAAGTATCGCTCCATCGATATCCGCTGTTTATTTAGAAGAATTACAGTCCCCCGCATCTGGGTTGGCTCGGACTAGATTTAGGGTTAACCCGTTTGTACCGGTGGATCTCAGAGAGGCTGGATCTATTCTGGCTAGTGGTTAGACTAGCCGATGTCGTTTTTTCCCAGTTTCCTTCTCCTCCAGGTTATCAGCCATCTAATGACCATCGCTATCAGCCATCTCTGCACCAATCTAACAGTTATCCCAATCGGCTATCTTCACACAGCTATGATGGCTTACCCTCTGCATTATCCTAGCATTATAGAACGTCCAAGGCCATGCATCATCGTTGTGCTTATTGGAAGACACTGAGACACTTACAAGCCGCCCGATTTAGAACTTCATCACGGCCATGGCCATCCGCCTTCTTTACTCTGGCCAAATACCTCCAGGGCCCGTTTGCTCGAAGCGCTAACCGCGGCTAAAGTTAGCCGCAGTACCTAGGAGAGGGATTTTGAGATCACGTGACTGGCTCGGTAGGGATGCGGGGAAACATGGCGGTGCCCCAGTGAATGAGCGCCGCTCGCTTTGGAACTAATATGTCGTTGTGGTTGCAATATCGGGCGCGTTAGTCAGCAACGAATAATGCAGGAGGCTTCCGCTTTGCCTTACCTCACTTAAACCGCAAAGCATGGGCAATGACATCGCCGCATTTTTTAGATAGTATTTCGATTCTGGGCACTTCTAAGCCTAAATGAACGCGATAATTGTCGGCATGGCGACGCCTTTGAAAAGCGGATTGTTGATAGCACACAAAAGCAGACAGCGTCCTGACAGACTTTTTTCTAAATTATCCAAGCATCGCGAGGAGAACGCTGGAAGTGTAATTCTACGGTTCACGCGCGCTGGCCTTCCTCTTATAAAAGATTTGAAGTAAAAAACATAATAAGGCTTTAACGAACGCGCGTGCAAGGCAAAATTTGTTTTATACTTTTTTTGCTTTAGAACGGTTACTACTGCAGACGCCAGTACGTGCGACGCGTGCAACTACAGTCGTAGCATGCACCTCGGTGCTAGGATAATTTAGAAAAAAGATCCGTTGGGACGCCGTCTGCTTTTGTGTGCTATCAAGAGTCCGCTTTCCATGCAAAGACGTTGCTATGCCGACAATTATCGCGTTCATTTAGGCTTACGAGTGCCCAGAATCGAAATACTATCTAAAAAATGCGGCGATGTCATTGCCCATGCTTTGCGGTTTAAGTGAGGTAAGGCAAAGCGAAAGCCTCCTGCTCCATTCGTTGCTGACTAACGCGCCCGATATTGCAACCACAACGAGATATTAGTTTCAAAGCGAGCGGCGCTCACTCATTGGGGCACCGCCATGTTTCCCCGCATCCCTACCGAGCCAGTCACGTGATCTCAAAATCCCTCTCCTAGGTACTGCGGCTAACTTTAGCCGCGGTTAGTGCTTCGAGCAAACGGGCCCAGGTGTTCACCGTGTCATATTCAAAAGCCGGCCCCTGACCACCCGGCCTGTCTCATTGCCCAACGGTCTTAGCTCTACGCATTTTCCGTTCAATCCTAGAGCTAACCTAAAGATTTGCACCACTCGTGTGATCCATTTTGCCTACTTTATTTCCTGTGGCCATATAACAGTCGTCTTCTTTTCTCCGTTCTAGCGAACTTCCGCTTCAAAGTGCGTTTACCAAACAATGTCGTTTGTTCTTGTCCTTCAGATAGTGTCTCCTAATCTATGCAGGAAACCTATTCGTCGTACTTACGAACGAGGGTATCTTCGTAGATGGCAAAATCCAGTATATTCCCCTGGCTATCTCTGGCTCTCCAGCCTGGGATAGCCGCTTTTTCCACTCCCCTCACGAAATAAAAAATAAAAAAAAACATTCATTTATGCCAAAAATTACTGACACATGCAGGCACTTCCTACGTAACCGAAAGCTAGTCGCTCAATCAGGAGTTGAGATCAATTTTTCGAAATCACCGCATCGGGAGGTATGGGTCGGAAACACTCGTGCACACCAGAAGCATGGTCCCAAGCATCTGGCTTGAGAGCCTCTCATGGTCGCTCGTGAGTTCGAAGAACGCAAGCATGTTTTCACACCAAAAGCTATGGGACCGTGAATTGCACAAACGTCTAGACCATTTTCTTCATTATTAAAACAAGAAGAAATACATATGCCGTCGCCATGCCTACAATATTCTTTAGAGAGTGAAGTGGTAAAGATACAAAATAAAGCATCTTCATTTTTTTTTAATTGCGACATTCGATGCTTATCAAGGTACCGGCTGTATAATTCTCCTGAACTTAATTTGCAGGGAATGTCATTAAATGAAGAAATGCAATACTAGCGCACATCGATGAACTATCGGGGAAAAATTAAATACCACCAGAGGAACGCGTGGCTTGCGGTACAGGCTGCGCCGCCTGCAAGTGAGCCTAGGGGCGAGGGTGTGTGTCCTAAAGCCCCTATATCCTGAAAAACTTGGCGTCATTCATTGTTGTGGAAATGCTCACGACACGTGTTGCGCGCCACTTCTGGGAAGAACATGGCTGACGCCATGTTCTAGGAACATGGCGTCACTTCTGAGAAGTGACGCCATGTCACTTCTGAGAAGTGACGCCATGTCACTTCTCAGAAGTGGCGCGCCACTTCTGAGAAGAACATGGCTTAGCTCAGTGCTGCGCTGTGCCGCCATGATCTTACCAAGGACTGCACGTTGCATGAGCCACGTGTATCGGCGCACCTTGCGCTACATTTGAAACATGAAGGGGTTTTAGCGTGGCCTACTCCAATGTGTATACGTCCTGCGCTCGGCGCTTCTCACGCTTCGGCATTGCGCCTCTTAGCGCGCTGAAAGCTATCACCGCTATCGTTGCTCGCTCCACGCGTGTCGTGCGTGGAAGCTCGCCGCTAGTAGCAGCGCTGGAGCGCGCCCAGCGCTGGTACTAGCCGCGAGCTTCCTCGCACCGCACGCACCGAGCGAGCAACTTTCAGCGCACTAAGAGGCGCAATGCCGAAGCTTGGGAAGCGCCGAGCGAAGGGCGTATAGACGCTTCGCAGCAGCTGTGCATGGACGCCGCCATAACTGACCTTCAGTTTTTGTTTTCTCTTATTCCGTTTATTTCACTTCATTATTACCAGTGTGTCGAACCGAAAAAAATACGGGCTTGGTTACGGTTCGGGTTCAGGTAAATTTATTTGGTTCCGGTTCAGTTCCGGTTTGATTAATTCGATCCTCGAAATGGTTCGCGAACCGGTTCGGGGCGCTGAACCGGTTCGCGAACCGGTTCGGAAATTATAAATGACAAATTGCAACATCAAAATAATTTACAAATAAAACATCTGAAATCAGCACATACGAAACGGGATACATCGTAGTGTAAGGCTCAGGGATTTCTACCAGGAATGGTTTCTTTATGTGCACTCAAAGGTTACCTCACCGACGTTTACGCATTCGGACTTCATCTAATTGGGTCCGACGCAGTAGCTGTAAAGTCCGCGACGTCCTTGCAAACCCACTTACAAGTAGAACTCCCTAACTATCCCGCCACCTCGGCGTGTAAGCAATTGAAGGAACAGTGGGGAGAAAATACAGCTTTCTTTATTTGAGCTAGCCTTCGGTAACTCAAATTAGACCCTTAAAGAAGTTTTCCTTAAACAAGATTCGGAATATGAAAAACACTTCACCGAACGCAACGCCAGAAGGACGTAATAGGATAAATATTAAAATAGAAGAGTTCGCTGTCTCAGAAATATGTTAGCTTCTAAGTGCCTATACGAAACCGGTTGCATTATTATCAAACTCCACAGCCTTTTCTTTTCTCATTCCGATGGAAGCAAGCTTCAAGAACTCACGCGTTCTAGAAACGTGTTATGAAATGAGCACACAGCAGGGGCTTTAAACTGGTCAAACACAAAGTTGGGGCCGAAGTTGACGGAGCGCACCGATTGGACAACCACGGCGATGACTTCGCGTTTTTGTCGCGGACGTCCAATCAACGCGCTCCGCGAACTTTCGGCTCCAACATTGTGTATGACAAGTTTAGGGCCCCAGCATTTAGGATTTACGAGATTGTAGGAAAATGAAATCCCGTGACGCGATTTTTTATTTTTTTTTTTTTTTTTGCACAGCCTTCCAATTCTTTTTCTTCCGTGCAAGCCGCGACCAGCGCAATACTGGTTCCTATGTCAAGATTCATGGAGGCAGCGTTTGTCAAGATTCATGGATGCAGCATTTATATTCCTAAGACTGAGTGGAGAAGAAAAATATGTAAGCGAGGTGTGTGTCAGTTGACGGCACTTAAAAAACAAATGGCATTGATAGCACATTCATCGTCAACAGCGGGTGGCCGAACCGTTTTGACATGAGCCGGTAACCGTTATTTTTTTTCCGGTTCAGTTCCGGTTCGGGTTCATCGCGATAACAATATAACCTTTCGGGTTCGGGTTCAGTTCCGGAAAAAATACCGGTTCGGTTCCGGTTTTCGGTTCGGTTCCGGTTCCGGTTCAACACCCTGATTATTACCATAACAGGCCAGGTTGTTGCCACATCATATTCAACTGTGTCCTTTTCTAAAGCATCGGCCT